AAAAAAAAAAAAAAAAGAAAGATAGAATTATATGTAAATTCACATTTTGTCTTGAACATAAGTAATTATAAAAACTCAAAAAAATAATTTTTTATTAAAATAGTGTTTGGACTTCTGGATATTTACTAATGGAGGGGCAGCTGCTGGAGGCAAGAAATTTAGGTAAAAAATAAAGACAATATTTCTATAGCTATGAAACAAGCTAACGAGATATTTTTATAAGTAGAAAATTCTAAAAATGTTAGGTTATTGTTAAGGACAAGAAAACTTGATACAACACATCAGAAATTTTAGGATTCCATAAATTAGGTATTTCTCCACTTTTTTTCTGATCTTTTATCTACAAGATAATACATAATACATTCACAGAGTGCCTTAAGAGACACCACATGAGATGCAAGGATAAAAGAAAATACAAAGTTACTGTTCTCAAGGAACTTCAAGTCCAGTGCGGGTGAAAAATAAGGGAAAAAGCAGTTGCAATTTAGGATAAGTGGGAGTAGGGTCGCCTAACTGGTCTTGAGTAAGAGAAGATGGGGAAGGTAATGAGGCTTTTAGGGGCTAAGCACATTTGTAGTGAGTCTTGAAAAACAAATGGGATAGTTAGGCAGGCAAAGAAAGAGAAAAGGGCATTCCAAGCAAAGGATACAGTATTCCTAGAGTTATAGAAGTAAGAAACACCCTTTGGGGCCGGCCCGTGGCTCACTCGGTAGAGTGCGGTGCTAATAACACCAAGGCCCCGGGTTCGGATCCCACATAGGGATGGCCGGTTCGCTCACTGGCTGAGCGTGGTGCTGACAACACCAAGTCAAGGGTTAAGATCCCCCTACCGGTCATCTTTATTAAAAAAAAAAAAAGAAACACCCTTTGCATCTTGAGGAAACATAAGTAATTCAGCATGGCATTTTATTTGTGTTCTGGAAAGTCTACTAAATGAGAGATTGAATACTGGATGGAGCAGTGTCAAACTGGAACTAGGGTTACTAATTAAGATGCTATGGGGC